TTTTCACTTTGTATTCATTTTACTTTTTAACCATGTCTCAATATTATCTAATATTTAAATGTAATTTTCTTACATATGTACAACTAAATATAATTATAATTATTTTTTCCTCTCTATACTTCTAAATTAGTTCTGCAATGTATGATCTCTTATTTCTATGTTAATATTTTGCTTCTTCCATTTTTGTTTTTATTCACATTGCACTCTTATCTATAATATATTAATTCTATTTTATATGTATGTGTATATATTTATAATTTATTATTTCATAGATATAGTATTTTTCTCTTGTATCCATCCATATCTTCAAATTTTAGATTTTGTAATTTTCTACGATTTTTTTTTTTTTCCCATCACCCAAACAGGTCAGCAAATTTCCTCAATACCTACCCTTACCCTAATTTTCCAGATCTAAGTGAAACTCCTAGCTGAACACACCTGTAAGTCTCTATTTTTATTCTTCTAATTTTATTTATTTACTTATTTTTTCCTTTCCTTCTCCACATTCCTTTATGTCTATTATTTCATATTATATCCTTTTTCCTTTTCTTTCAATCTCTCCTGTAGATCTGTAGAAGTATATTTACATTTGCATATATTATATATTACACTACAACAATTGTTAACATGTATTTACTTCAGTTTAGGATCTTGTTAATTAGTTTACTCTGTTTATATTTTAATGAACTTACTGTTTATAATTTTAATAAGCTTATTCACATTGTTTATAATTTTTTGTGTTAATATTATGTAACTTCCACAATTCTCTATATCTTTTTGTATCTTGTTCGTTCTAGCCCTGAAGAAGACCTGCAAAGTCGGGTCGAAACATTGGCTTTTAATAAAATAGTTTTGCCACTATTTAGCCTATTTATGACCGCCACCCATCAGGACCATCTCCTTCCTTTATAATGCAACGGTCAACTACTGAATATTAAATATTTAATTTTTAATTCATTTTTTATTTATATTTCAACAGTTAAATGAAAAACTTTCCATTAATTATTTCAGACATATCTTATTCAGAAATATATGGCGATGGATGTTCAATTCATCCAAACGTCAAAATTTAAAAAAAATAAAATTTGACGAATAACTATTATTTTAGAAATAATTATATCATGATTATTCCTTTAATTCATTTATTAAATAAATGATGTAAACAATGGCCACATCACAGAAGTGATAGAGTGGAGTGATCAGATCTGATTTCACAGCGTCTACGGTGACCTTTGCTGGCGGAGCACAGCGATTTCACAGCGCCAACAGTGATCATCATTGTTGGAGCACAGTAATTTCACAGCGCCAACAGTGACAGTCACTGTTGGAGCACAGTGATTTCCAGTGATTGGGGCACAGTACCAATAGCAATCTTCATTGTTGGAGTACAGTGATTTTTCATATTTTTTCTTGATTAGACCCATGATTATTTGAAAGTTTACCAAATTCCCAAGAAAACAATAAAAAAAATCTGACCATTAACATAGATAACATTAAACTCGGTATACATAATAATTTCTCCCTCTTCGAAGATACTGCATTCAATATTCTACTACCGTTTTTCTTCTCTCATATATACTTTATTATTTTTAAAGACTGAAAGAGATTTTTTTTGTTAATATGTTTTTATTTTGTAATAACAAAAATCCTCTGATCAAGGCCTTTTTTAATATGAATGGTAATATTCAGTATTTATAAATTGGACCTAGAAAAGTAATTTGAACAAATATTTTGATCTATTATGTTAAATGAAATATTGTAATAAGATCTTCTTATACTTCACTAGACAATATATTTTGCGAATTGTTCTCACGTGCCAGCGAGTTAAGTAATAAATAAAATACTGAAAGAAAAACTTTCTGCTAATTATTTCAGAAATAACTCATTAAAAAATAGGCTTTATTGCAATGAATGTTTGTCATCCAATGTTCAAGAACTATGCATAATAAAATTTGATGAATTACCATTATTTAAAAATAATTATTCCTTTAATTCATTTATAAAATAAATTATGGCACAGATGTATTTCACATTTTACAAATAAACAGTCCCCAGATCACTGATGCAATATGAGTGATGAAGCATGATCAGAGCTGTGATTTAACAGCACCTACAGTGACCATCACTGTTGTACTAGTGATTTCATAGTGCCAGCAGTGATCATCACTGTCACTATGATCATCAGCTCCCCTTTCATTTGATTGTGACAGAATCACAGCTCCGCCTATATAGCCCCATCACAAGTTTGCAGAAAGGTAGTCCCTTATCAGAGCATGGTCTTAACGCCTTGCCGCTAGCTTTGTTACGATTGTGAACTGTATGATTACGAATTAACTGTAGATGCTGTAAACACACCACAGAGCAGTTTCTATTAATGAGAAAAGTAAATTACTCACAAAATCAAAACTCTGGGTATAAGATTGGTTAAAATGTCACGGAGGTGGTATTCACTATTTGACGGCAGAAGTCAGACTGGTTTGGTCATTCTTTAATTTCAAAATAACTATTTAAATAATTGTAATATAAGTTATTAATTATTGTAAAAATTTAGCTCGGCTGAACCTAGTAAAAGCTATTAACCTCAAAATGTTAAGTAGACGTTATCATCGAAATGAAACCTTTGTTTATCCTTGATCAATCGCTCGATTAATATTATTAATATTAGAAGGCTTCCTTGCAAGAAGTACCTTTTACAGACCCTGGCTCCATAGCTGTTAAGATTCAAGGATAACTGCAAATAGGTTGGTAATTCTTGTCAAGATAAGAGAAAAAATAACAACAAACCACTATATGATGAAACATGCCAGATGTTAGAAAAAAAATTGCCAAATAAAATTCTTTAAATAATACAAATAATAATAAAGTTGATAATTTCTACAGTTAATAAAACGGAACTAAGCTCCTTGAAAATGAAAACGAAAATTTTTGTTAAAAAATTCTCATGATCCAATTTAAAATCAAATAATAAGAAGTTCATGGCCTTGAACAAATCTATGCATATGAACATCATAAATCTTCAAACCCGGACAATATCGCAAAATTTCGACCATTATAATAGCATTCTTAATAATTATTACAGAATCTTGCAATTAAAACTACACAAGTAATTATGTATTTACATTTCTATTAGTACATACCTTTATTCAGAGATCCAGGGTATATTGACATATTTTAAATGTGAAAAATCTGTATTAATTACTAAATCTATACTACTATAGTCTGTGATTGATAATTTTTTTTCTGTAGATCTAGAAAAATACCTGTATTTTTTAAATCATTAAATTGTGGTTGTTTAAAACATGTTTTACATGTCTATGTATATCATTGATTTCACTATTTTTTCAAATACACAGATGAACTATAAATGAAATGTTTCTTCCTATTTTGTCATAAATATAAAAATTTGTAGGTTACAATATAAACGATAAAGTAATAAAAAATAAAGAACAATTCCTAAGTTTATTTTTGAATACCTATAATCGAACTTTTAAGGAGGGGGAGGGAGGCATTAGTTTTCAAGTAATTTCAGGTGGAGTGTACCTCTAGTCTGCCATATTCTTGTTGATTAATGGTTAATGATGAACATATAATACTGTTTAGACAACTTTTCAATTTTAATTAAATAAAGGCAAACAACTCTAATGAGTTCAAAATAGGCAACATTCAACTTATTTATGCAGTGGACTGTATTTTGATGATGTGGTAGGTTATATGAATTGAGCAAAATTGACTCATCCTTTTATGCTACCGTAGCCATCTTACTTAACTGAGAGGACCCTCCAGCTATTGCCTCTGTGGAATACCTGGGATGAAGTGGGTCGAGAGTCTCGAAAATGGCACAGATTAAATTTTATCTGATCTGCCCAAACCACTCACCGCAACACGACAATCAGGCACAAAAAATTTTTTTAACTCATTTATAAGGATAGGGTAACCAAAAAGAAAAAAATAATACTGCTTATATAAAATATCACCTTGTGGTATATTTGAAGAAATAAAAACTCTGTATAAAATGTTAGTCACTCTAGCATACAATTTTTTGGAATGTACAATATTTAATAAATTACATTTATTAAAAAATATTTTAAGCAATTGTTAGATTTTAAAATTAAAATACAAAAGGCTATACTGCTCAATTGATCTAACACTGCTTCATATAGGCCTAAACTATAATAACCACTGCCCAAATGAACAATCATAATAAATTTTCATAAACTGTATGACTTCTGAAGTGCAATAAACTTAATATTAATAAGAAAAGCGCTTTTTTTTTTCTCTATTTATGCAATCTATACCTAAAGTGCAAGTAATAAACCACACAAGTATGGTTTTTATGAATGTGACAAAATACAATGCCTGTTCTAAGGCACTTGTGCTATCAAATATAAGCCATTTTACATACATACATATATATATATATATATATATATATATATATATATATATATATATATATATATATATATATATATATATGTGTAATGAAAACATGGTTATTTTACAATTAGCATAGTTTTTATAAAATTATGCAAAATTAAATTATATACTTAAACATAAAATAAATTAAAGTTTTGGCAAAATTAAAAAAAAAATGGACACAATTGTACATTCATATTTGGCTAAAAAAAATAACATTCAAAAATAGTGCAGTCTGATATTCATAACAAGATATAAGATTATTACTAAAGCTCTTTATAATATCATTAAACAATATATTTAAATAATTGAACAATTAAAAAGGTCTTACACTAATAAAATAACAAAATATATACCATTATTTATGAACAATTGTCTAATTTACAAACAGAACAAGAATACTTTTAATTTAACTTAATAAAACAACTTTCTAATAATTATAATAATGATAATAAAAAAAGGACAGATTCAGAAACTACACATTAATTACAATACTATAAATAAATAAATAAATAGAAATATATATATATATATATATATATATATATATATATATATATATATATATATATATATATATATATATACCATTATAAATTGAAAATAAAAACTTAAAGCAAAAACCTGACTCCTTAAACTAAATTTAAAAATTACTTGTACGAAATTTAAAATAAATACATCATATGATCTATAAATGGGGTCTGGTCCGTTCATAACCTTACAAAGAGATATAAATTTACAATCTAGAATGCATTTTATTTAATATAACCAAATTTAAATAAATAGAACTTATAAAACATTGAATATAAAATTCATATGATAGAATTTCCTATGTGATTTTTCTTATTTATATATATATATTTTTTTTTTACTAAATTATTGTGCTACTTAGTATAAACTGCTAATTATGATATATAAAAGTATTAGAATTTACAAATACACACCATTTTAAGTGATAAAGCATCTAAAAGTTTATTGATGACAATATACTGGAAAAAAAATGTGTAAGTTGGAATATATATGTAAACACTATGTATACATAAATATATATATTTACAAACAAATGCATTCATTCACATCTCTTAATATAAAGTCTTTTTTATGTTAATAGTAAATTTTGTTAGAGCATCCGAGTTAGGAGTGTTACTTTAAAAAATAAACATAACAGAAATAAAATTTTTAGTAAAAAATGTTTCACCTCAATTTGAATGGAGGAACAGTCCCTAAAACCTGAAATGACTCTATAAAACAATAAAAAAGTTAATTCTAAATATAATCAGAATATTCTGAATGGTAACTTAAAAAAAAATAAATAAAGTAATAATAAAAACAAAGTGCTTGTATGGCAGATACCATTGAATAATTCAAACAAACTCAAGAAAGGAAGTGATGATTGACAACTATAAATAATAAACTTTAATGATGCAAACTAATGAAAACCTTAAAATCATTTATAGAGATATAAGAGACCGATGTTAAGTTATATACACATTAATTAACAATTCCCAAAAAAAGTGAATGAATCTTTATTCCAGACACATAAACTAAGTTGTGATTTTGAGGTAGATAATTTTTTGGATGTTCGAATCAAATGATAAAACCATCTTTAACATTTAATTTTTCAAAATATTTAAACAATTTTCAATTTTAAACCGACGTATAATTAAAAATAAAAATAAAATATCAGAGATTCAATAAATGCAGATCTTTGATTTTCACAAATAGATTCATATCCACAGTATTCAAACTGAATTAGAATTGATCAATTTGGATACAAAGTATAAATTATGATCAATTGCTATTAACTGAAATGAAATCTCACATATCTTTACATAACATTAGTTAAAAAGCAAATAAATCGAGGGAAAATATACTTGTTTTGTATTAATACTAACGTCAATACCAGGAGTACCACTTGAATATTTTTAGTTTACTTAATGCTTCTTTAACAATAAAATTAGTGACGTTACATAAATAAATTAGTAATTATTACATAAACAGCAATTATTTCCCAAAGATAAATCACATGATAACCGTTTAAAGTATAAAAATAATAAATCATTATGTTATACTTTATGATACATAGTAAAATATAAAAATTGTTCTGTAATCTTAACTTAAATGAAGCTAAACTATAATACACGATGAAAGTTTTTACAAAAATAAAACCAGGGTATACAGAATTTTATACTTTTTACAAATACGCTGAACCATAATAATGACACCAATACTGATTAGCATGTGTTTATATATTGTTTAAGTGATGTGTATATGGAGAAAATATATACATGTATTAAAATTATTCATTTGATTCATTGTGTAGCACAATAATCAAACCGTATCAGGGCACTGAGGTGAAATAATATAACCCACAATTAAAAAAAAAATTGGAGTTTTACATTATACAACCCTGAAGGGTCAGATCTATACATTGGTAAAATGTGGTAACTCATATATAGATCTGACTTTTCAGAGTTGGATGGTACAATAATCCAATATTATTTAAAATTGAAGGTAAAATATTTTAGCTCAACACTTTCAATCTAAAAATATGAAAAAAAATTTAATGGTACAATAAAGCAGTAAGAGATACTACACAAACTAACTTTTAACACCAATTTTCTTTTAAGAAGCAAAATAATCAATTAGATCAGTTAAGAACAATTAATATTACAAACATTAGCAAGCCACAAAAAGCATGAACAGATAAAGTTTAAATGTCTTTCAATAAGAGCCTTTAATGTACAAACATAAATTTTAATGTACTATAATTTTTGCAACACCTGATGCCTAAATACTGCTGGTTCCAGTAGAGCTAATTATTTTGTTTGTATAGAAAAAGTAATAAAAAAAAAAGGTTTTACAACTATTAATAAGTAGTGCTATTATTGTTATACCATAATTATGAGATTCTAATTCATTAAAGGGATGTAATGTGTACATGAAAATGAATATATAAATTATTAATTAATATTTAAGATTATTTATAAGGTTCTTACTTAAGAAGTAACTAGCAGCCTTCAGTTTTTAAATTAGGTAGATAGATACTATACTACGAGTGTAAAGGGTATTTTTTATACGGCTTTGTATATAGGTATATGCATGAAGCAAATAACACACATGAGCACAAACAAATGTTTTGAGCAAAACTTAAAAGTATAAAAATAACTAAGAAGTAACTTTTATATTTAAAAAAAAAACTAAATAAAAGTTATTTTTAAAAGACAGATTAACAAGAGCAAACCATTAAATCATAAAATATGTAACCCTGTTGAACATGTGAAGTATTTTTGAAAGGGAATATATCTTTGGATGTGAATACATCATCACATCCCTATGGTTTTTTTTAAAGAAAGAAAAAAAAGAATAATCATAATAAATAAATAATTTAGTTTGAAGCTGGAAATTTTAAAAACTAAATCTTTTAAGGGTGGGTAGAAGCAACTAAATATTTGTAACTAACAAGAAAAACAATACTTGTTTTGCAAACATATACTACTTTTCTTACTCTTATTTCAATTTTCTTATTAACTATACCTTGAATCATAAGGTACAAATGGACAAATATATTTATCTATGGAAATCTAATTCTGAGACAAATTGACAACCATGCTTTCAAAAACATACAGTATAAATGGCAGTATTAAACACACTTTTAAAGTAGATGCAATAAAGAAAAAATATATAATGATATATAAAAATATTTCACAACATGATCAATAAGTTAAAAAATAAATAAAAAAGAATGAGTAGCATATATTTACCTCAAAATTTCCATTAGAAAATTCTAATTATTCAATACATAAAAACTAAAAATTAATTATTGAGATTTTTTATTTTAATATATTTTTTAAACTGAATATTGATTGTGGCAGTTTTATACTGACGAGTGCATTCATTAAAAATGGAAGCTCAGCAAAAGCATTGCACTCTCTTTGAAAGACTTAGAAATCATTGAATTGACATCTATTTCCACCACTTGTGAAATGATTACATAGAAGCAGAAAGCTATAAAATCACACATAGGTAGCAACAGATGAAAGAGTAGGCTGTTCATCAGACTTCTTTTTTTCATTACCAGGGCCATATTGTCCAATGAATGAACCATCTTCTGTAAACTTTCCTAAAATGAAAATAATTAATACATTAATTTTACCAATTTAATAAACCCTATTAAAATAAAAATTATACAATAAACATGATAAAAATATTTAACTCTTAATAGGGCACTGATTTATTTATGGATTCCATCAATATATATCTGTCCTCTCTTGGTTTTTAAAAGAAACAGAACCCTTACCTAATTTAGGGTTTTTAACTAAAGATAAATGTCGCTCAAGATGATGGTAGGTCCAGGTAGATTTAACATCAAATATGGAGGATAATTTGACCAGTGGGCTACTCAACAAGTGTATTTATAGTTAATTGTGTGCTCTGTTTTAGGTGTTTATTTTGTATATCTTGTTGGCGCTACAACTCAGGGGTGGGTCTTGGTCTCCTCTAGGAGCTTCCAACATCCAGTTCGATCCATAGCCTCTGCCTTCCAGTTTGGTGTCCCTATTAGTATACTGGAGTCAGCCACCCCGCTATCCATCCATCTTATTCTGGGTCTGCCTCACCTCATGGTGTAATCAATCCTATCCTCAAGGACTCTTTTGGGAATATCACCCTCCTCCATCTGAATCACATGGCCGGCCCAACTTAACCTTTTAAGTTTGATTGAAGTTGACGACATTTAAATCATAATACAGAGTGTATAAACTCCTGGTTTCTTCATCTCCTCCAAACTTCTTCTTTCACAAGACCATATATCCATAACAAAATTGTCAGTTAAAATATAAGGAGGCTATTCGCATCAGCTTTCATCATCGTTCATGTTTGTCAGGCACAGGCCAAAGTTTTATATAATCTTGCCTCAATTTGCCTTGTGAGTAATTGGCTAATGATATGTCTCCTTAAGCCAAAATAGCAACGGTTGGCTGCCACTATCCTCTTCCCTATTTCCTTCGATATGTCATTGGTTGATGTTACGAGGGAAGCAAGGTAGGTAAACTCCTGTACTCTTTGAAATTTGAATGGGCATATTTCTATAAAACTTTCTCCTTACTGAACTCTGTCGGCCTTTACCACCATATACTTAGTTTTGGTCTCGTTTACCTCAAGGTAAATGAGTCAAAAACTGTTGGATAGAAGTTGCCTGTTGGATTTCCAGAAAAGAGTTAATTAGCTGAGATTTGAATCTTGTAACTATATCAATATCGTCTGCTAAGACCAAGATCTGGACACTTCTGTTGACAACAGTTTCTCTTGTCTGTACTTTTGAATCGCTTACTGCTTTTTCAAGCCCCAAAATGAACAGCAGACATGCAAATCTATCCTCCTGTCGCGACCTCTTATTGGTCTAAAACTCATTCAAGTATTTTCCTTGAATTCTAACATTCCTCACATCATGCATGGGCATCTTAACAAAGCAGATAAGCTTCCAGGGAATGCCAAATTCTTTAAGTGCCTCATAAATTTGGAATGATTAATGCTATTGTTGCCATATTCCTCTTGTGATGTCATGATGCCTGCAGTAACCTGTGCTGCATTTTTACTCCAGCTCTACTTCTGCCTACCTCTTTGGGCAATAAATCGTAGAGGCTCGATACAACAAAATATTGATTCAGGTTTAAAAAGAGATGTTATAAAAAAGACAGTTTGTACTAAAAAAATGGGAGTTGAGTCGCTGATGTTAAAATGTGCAGTTTTTACCTAGCGACATAACAATTGTCTGGGCCCCCACTGTATAGTACTATTTTGGCTGGAGTTGCAACTCTTTAAGTTTTTTTTGTTAATAAGTAAGCATAATTTTATTTGTGTATTTTTTGGTTATAAAACTTAACCTTTTTTTCTTTATTCTGTAATCAAATTTTCTGCAGCTGCATTTCTCATTTTTTGTATAACAACACTTTTCTTTTTTGTATTTGTTAATTTTAGTACTCAAAGTTTATATTTTCTTTTCCTCTCTAAATTAAAGATGTATATTTATATTGTGAATGGAGTATTTATTGAGGGAACCTACTTGAATTCCTTAACTATCACACGCATTCTTGAAATCTACGAAAAGATGGTAGGTTGTCAATTATATTCAATCCCCTCTTCATGATAGTCCTCAGGGAAAACATTTGGTCCACTGTGGATTACCCACTTCTAAAGCCAGTCTGGTACTTTCCTACTATTAGTTTGGCTTACGAGACACAATCGATTAAAGAGAATTCTGGAAAGCGATGGAAGCTCGACCTACTGGGAGGAGACCATGAGGCTGTCCCAGAATTTCGTACTAGAAATACATAGAGCGGATTAGCAGGAAGAGAGAGGGAAAACTCCAAGAAATGAGGCACCTTGGCCAGGACAGAGAGGCATGGCTGCATTCGATCGAGGCTCCTCCACCCTAAGAATAGCATCAGAGGCAGACAAAGAAGAAGAGATTCTTCTATGAGAGCGTGACAATCAAACAGGCTTATATTACAGAAGAGTATATTGAACCTTACCATACAGAGCCTTGAATTTATGGCAGCATTATCTATGACTCGTTCTCTCATTCTTCCTCTTACAAACAAACTCGGTATCGAGCGTCCAGTTTTTACTGTGGCATCTGTAATAAACTGAGTGATATCTTTTCTTCATAATTCCTCTGTTCCAGTCCAATGCATTTCCTGGATCGCAGTGCGGTCAATCTTATAATTGTCAATTTGCTTCAAGAGGGCTTGAAGTTCTCTGGGTCTATTAAGCATTAAAATATTGGAAAGTCCAATTATTAAGTCCTTATGACGGTTCCTATGTATTTTACCATTTATCAACTCGATGTTTACTCTTTGAGGTTTCGGGATAAGGGTGGTTTAAGGGAAGGCCTTCAAATCAGGTGGAGGGACAGCCTCCTTAGAGTATTAGGGACAGCATCCTGACGTACTCCCCATCCAGAACGGCTAGCTAGGAGAAGTGACCATAAGGTGTGTACTTTTAAAGATCTTAGTGTATAATGTGGGGATGAGTGTAGTGTTGTAATCTGTGTACTGTGTGAGTCAGTGTACTGTTCCCCCAACCTAGAGGGCCAGTAGTTATCTGCTGTACTTAGACCAGGTAATGGGGCCACCACTTCCCTACACCTTACTGGTTTATTTTCCCTATCAAAATTGTTTGCTTGTATTGTAATCAGTTTTGTTGATATATTTATTGCTTATTTATTTAATAAAATAAGTTAATTAATTTATCTCTCAATTTTTATTATCTTTCACAAGATTAGTTTGTGATCCAACATTTTTTTGAGGGATTGTTACAGTGATTTGTCTTAGTAAGTTTCATTTACTTATTCTATTTATACTGATTAATTTGAATTTATACTAAAAATATCACTTTAAGTCATCTATGTATTGTTTTTTTTGGTGTCATAAACTTATTGTGATTTTTTTTAAGGAATGTCAAAAAAAATGTTAAGTTGTATGAGGGCGCTTATTGCTTAAACACAAAATAATAAAGACATCAAATATAGAAATTATGGAAAAAAATGTTAGGTCCATTCATTCAACAATTAAAAAAAAAAACATAAATAAAAAGCTGCTGGTCATTCATGCTTTTTCATTACTTTTGTTTGTAGTCCATTAGCAAACTGGAAAACTTTTTTTTAATTATTATTATTTTTTTTTTTTGTCCATAACTTTATTGGACAAAAAAAAACAACAAGAATTATTGTGAGATACATTTCCTCTACAACTCTTCCCCTTTAATTGTAATGTTTTATCTAACATGATTTTTCAGTAACTTAATGAAACATACTCTACCTTATTTTCTGAAACATTAACTAGAAGGCTCTTTCTTCACTGAATGGGTTAAAATTAAACTTTGTCTCTGGCTAATATAGGGAGGGAATAAAGCAGAACATAAAAAGTTTGGCTCACTAATAAGTTTACTTAATCTGGTCGCTTTTTCAGTATCAGATCATGTTTTGGAATGTTTTAGGTTCGCTAAGTTTGAAATTACTTGATAATTATGACGTAAAAAAGTTAGCACAAGAGATCCTTAATATACTAAGTCAAGTTTATTGCTATTACAGATCTATAGCAAATTTCTATTACAGATAAATTTTAAGCAGTTTAAGCGTAAAAGTTTAAAAAACCCAAAATAGTGACAAGTTTCTAAACTCAGTGCTGAGCTCATCGATGTCGTTGTATTGCCCACTTTACAGCTGGATATGTCCATGTCCGTAAGGGAGAAGTCCTTAATACTACAATATGATTAAAAAATTGAGGGGATTGACAAACTTTTTTGCTACAGAAAGAAATTTGCTATAGATATACCCATTATGAGAAGTTTCTTTGAGTTAGAATACTAACTTTAAGTAAATATGATAAAAATAAAGCGATGAAAAATATACAAAACTAAAACCATTATGTATTAATAAGGAAAGAGATGGTCTGGGGTGGCACTCATATATAGACTAAATAGTGGCAAAACTATTTTATTAAAAGCCAATGCTTCAACCCGACTTTGCAGGTCTTCTTCAGGGCTAGAATTAGAATAGAGACTTTACAGGTGTGTTTAGCAAGGAGTTTCACTTAGAACTGGAAAACTAGGATAAGTATTGGGGAAATTTGCTGACCTGGTTGAGGAATGGTGAGGAGGTAAGTAGTAAAAGTAAAACAAAACCTGGAAAATTACAGTATCTAAAATTTGAAGATATGGATGGATACAAGGGAAAATACTATATCTATGAAATAAAAAATAAAAAATATATACATACACATATAAAACAGAATTAAGAAATTATAGATAGGATTACAATGTGAATAAAAACAAAAATGAAAGAAGCAAAACGTACATAGAAGTAAAATATAAATGGTTATAATTATACTTAGTTTTACATATGTAACAAAATAGATAATATTGAGACATAATGGTTAAAAAGTAAAAACTGATGATCGTACATTGATGTAGAATGTACGATCATCCGTTTTTATTTAGTATTCATTTTACTTTTTAACCATTATGTCTCAATATTATCTAATATTTAAATGTAATTTTGTTACATATGTAAAACTAAGTATAATTATAACTATTTATGTTTGTTTCCTCTCTATACTTCTA